TCCCACCAAAGGTTCCATACGCCAAACACTTTCTCCGGACGTTTGCAGGCCACGCGGGTAAGCCCACCATTCGTTGGCGGAGGGAACCGTTGGGGGCGAGCCTGTGACCGCGGCCACACAATTCGTAGCACGTGGCAATGTCAACAATTCAATCCTTCGTAGCATCGTATCGCCAACACACATAATGAATTGTTGAGTACATCCATCGTGACTGGGTCGCAAGGAGAGCCATGCTTGTGCTTGCGCAAGTCTTTGCCGATTTCCTATGACACTCTTTCAGTTTTTTCGTAATTTCAACCTTAAATTTTTGGACGATCAACTTAACCGATGCGACTTGCAGAGACAAGGGAATATGCGGTGGGATTCCCGTTGCCACCAGTCCAGACGTCTTGTTCTCAAGGACCTGAGTGGACGTGGGTGGCGAGTGACGGGATCGTGTCGCTCGTCCATACTTGCGGCAAAAACAGTGGATGGTCGACTGCAAGCGTAGCCTTGAGCCATTTGCAGTGGTACACGAGTGACGACCAGTGGAATGGAATGACAGATCGAAATGTCGCAGGATAGAACATTTTAAAACCAGGCAAAATGGCATCCCACTGAGCCGCAGACAATGCAGCACAATGGAAATGGGGTGGAAGGGCGGCAAAGTAGGTGTCGTTAACATTGAGCCCTACAAAGAAAAGAATTGTCTTCATTCTATCCGAGAATTACCTGACGCTGCTCGTCCCACGAATTGATCTCCACCGGCACCTTGGTAGATATACCGGCCCTGCACACTGCCTAAACTCCAACCGGCGCGTACTGAAGTAAAATCAACAATCCAAAATTCCACTCATGTGCACCTGAATATGACAATGGTGCTTTCCCCTCGGTTAATTTCGTTTCGCCAACCGAACACAGTTGGCCAACCAACCTTCCGTTTGTAGCCAGCACTAAACTCTGCAACATGTTAGTCATTTGAGAAGCGTACTGTGCTACCTGTCATCATTTTTTCGACTTCACTTTGTATTGCGACTCCGCGCTCAGTGTAAAGATACTTTATTGCACTTTGGACGGCACTTATAGTGGCGAAACAAACTTGTTTCGTACAGCCAAAATATGTAAATCATATTGTCTTAAAGTTTGTATGCTTCTGGATATATGCTACCATATTTTGGTTTTACGAAACACAGGTATCCGGAAAGTTTTCTACTGTAGATTCTTCATTCTTCATTCTGGCAGTGGCTCCATGGCCAGTCGGAGCCACTTGGCGATGGCCGCAAAGAGAAAGCGAGGTCAATGCGTTTGTGGAGCCGGGCGACTACATAATTGCTCTCCGCGTGGTCAGCAGCACGAGGAGGCAATACGACACGACGATTGCACGATTGACTCGTTGCTTGGAAGAGGATCACCCTTCGTGTGAGGTCGGAGGAGCTATAATTCTACCCCTCAGTGTGTTGGTATGTAAGGCCATGTTACAGCACTCTAGCATCAAGAGAAATCGCCTCGGCGCCGAATGCATTCCACTCCAATATAACTCGTTCGCCATATATATTGAGGGTTTCGTGTTTCGTAAATCCATACTAGTATTCAGTTATGCCGGAACAGAGGATGTACTAATCATTTCTACTTTTATAAATGTTCTATACATGGATTTAGATATATTGAATTTAGAATATATGGATGTCACGAGGTTCTGTAGCCAAATGACGGCCGAAGATGTTGGGAAAGGATTAAGTCATTGGAACGGGTCTGCACGAGCCTCCAGCAAACGACAGGTAGTGGAAAGTAAACTTCAGCGCACAGCGCCGCGATTTATGTGGCGCTCGAAATTAAGGACGTGGTCGCGATGGTGGAAGTTGTGGGGTAGGGCGAGCCCGAGTGAGCTTTATGCATGGGCGAACCGGTGTGAGGTCAGTCGGTAAAAGGAGTCATTCAGCTTCAGGAGGTTGTCTCTCTACGCCATTGTTGTAACCTGCTGGAGATGCCGCAGAAACGACGAGGACTGGCGCAATTGCCACGTCGTCGACTGCGCTCGAAACCACCCGACGACGCTCGCGACATACGCTGTGCGAAGCGTCTTGGTTGGTACACTGTGAGCCAATTGCACCAGCGCCGTTGCAGCGGCAATTTGCAATTCTTTGTCGCCTTCACAACCAAGATTATGCTCCATTCCAGCTCAAGTGCGTCGATACCTTCCGCAAGCGTTGCGTCCGTTAACACTCGAGTCAAGAGCTCTCCGATCTGCTTCGCTTGGTTGATAAGTGAAGCTTCGGTAGATCCAAACGTCACATACACCGCGGCCGCCACGCCTACGAATGCAAGCTAAGTCCTTGCTAGCTGGCGAACAGCCCACCAAGGACTCGGAGTTTGGTCTGCGACATGTTGTCCAGTTGATCGGAGAGAAGTACAACGATGTTGTGGTCAGCACACCACCTCCACCCACGCACGCGCAAGAGGAGGCGCACACTCTCGCACGTTTCAAACACTGACTGGTCGAAGAGCTGTCGAAATGACTCCAAGTAGTCGTCGTCGGATAAGGGCGGGTCGAGTTGACACAACGAGTTGAGTTCTTCAAAGAATGCAGCGTTCTGGTTGTGTTTGGCAGCTTCGTCGCGGTACAGCCCGCTCAGCTACACATCCTTGTCGTAAAAATGACGCCACTTTCGAACCGAGATATCACCAAATATCGAATGGTCGTGGGCAACAGGGTCGACGCGCAGTTCCTTCTTCCGATGGGCGCCACAATGTCTGGCCACGACTGCGCCATGGCGACAAAATCCCAAATCGAACGATTCGCTTCGGCCAATCGATCGACCAAGAACGAACGGCTGGCAGCCATCCACGCCGCGCGCCGACACAATAGCGTGTGGACACGGCACCAGGTTGCTTGTGTCTTGACGTTTGGTCGCTTGGATGGCTTCTTGATGTGGATCGCAACGCAGTGGAGAATCGACAAGAGATCCGCGCGGCGGGGGTGGGCAATGTGCCACAGCAAATCCACGCACACAGACGTGTCGATCGAGGTCGCAGACTTCGTGCTGGCCCTCAGGACAGCTTCTGCGATGTCCAGTGCCGGAACTTGGTGATGCTGAATCAAGTTCTTGACTACTTTGGTCAAGCAAAGGGCCTATATCGCACACCCCATCAATCAACGGCAATGCCGTAGAAGGTCAAGATCAGCCGTACTCTGGTTGTTGGACTGTCCAGAGTTCGAAGGGCCGTGAAGTACGCTTGGACAACAATATCTGGTCGACTCTGCTTTGGCATGGCTTTTTGCATTGTATCGTTCAACGCGATCACCTCCACGGGCATGCTTGAGGACGACCCTGTCTTGGCCACTTTGGTCGCTGGCGACGGGATGCCGTCCTCGGCTTCAACTGGCATTAACGAACGTTTCTGTGGCGACGGCGCTTGCTTGGAGCTAACCTTTGTGGCAATACGTCGTGGAGGAGTGCAATTTTTTTGTGCTGGTAACATGTTTGGTATTGTCAAGGGTTGTCCGGATGCAGACGCCCCTGCGAGGTTGGAGACGCCTGAAGACGTTGGCGGGGTTGGATCTGCCTGGTTTTTGTCCTTCATCGGCTCTCCTGCATTCGACAAGGTGACGGATGGCGTGGTCGCGGCGCCCTGTGAAGGTGAATCTGCCTTCTCTTCGTCTATGGATGTGTTTGGTTTTTCTAGGCTTGTGATGAAATCGTCTAGGTCGGAATCATCGGAAGATGAAGACGACGATGACGAAGATGAAGAAGATGTGCTGCTCGCCGATTTCGGGGTCGCGGTGGCGGCATGTGTGGTGGAAACAGTCTCGACGGTGGTAGTTTCGGCGATGGCAGTTGCTATCGCAGTGATGGAGGCAGATTCGCCGTCATCGCCTTCGTCGGACGAGGAGGAAGAAGCCAAAGATGCCCATGGGTCGGTGCGGGGTTCTGTAGCCTATTCATATTCGCATTGAATGCTTGAGCAGCATTGCACAGCATTGCATGACGTCGTGGCAAACCTCAACATGGGTCGGTTGGCAGGTCGGCTGTGATACCGCGATAGCAGTCGAGTCCGATGATTTCAGAGCTGCAACCTAAGTCACAGACCGCGTCAAGACGTTGTTCGCAGCTCGCAAGACTACCGTGTCCGTGAGGGCTCGAATTGTCTTCTCATGTCCTTCGATCGTTTGGTGCTGCGACACAACTGTTTCCTTTAGAGACTCCACCGCCGCCTGGCATTCCTCCAGTTGTACACGATAGCTCGCTAGCTTCTCTGCAGCTTGCTTCATGCGAAGCTTTGTGAGGACCTTGTACTCCCGAAGCTTTTCGACCTCGGCCTCAAGCTCGGCCTTGCTCGCGCCACGAGCCATGTCAACGAGCGTTCGAAGTTCAAGTGGTTGATGCAACCTCTATCATTGCATTATTTCCACACATTATATATTGAATAAAGGAAACCTTTATCATTTAATCTAATCCCGCAACTACAGCGCGACCAAGTGCGTCAACACGTCGTCACGCGTGGCTGACGGGAACTTGAGTTGGTACGCGATCACTGCGTCGTTCATGGCCTTCACCGCTGGGCCTGGCGTTAACGCCAGTGCTTCCATGACTTCCTTGCCCTACGTATACAACTGGGCATGACAATCCCAATCGCATCATCGACATGGCGGCGTACATTCAGCAGCGGCTTCATCTCCCACACGTTGTCCAACGCGGCATCACGCGTGACATAAGTAGATAACGCGGCGTACTTTTCCCTCGCTGACGAGACATCGACCCCTTCCAACACGACTTCAACGAGGTACGCCATGTCGGCGCACACAGTCCAGAGTGCTCCAACTTCCCGCACGAGCAATCCGACCTGGACCCGGTCAAACGGTGCGTTGGCGATTGCAACAAAGCGGCGGCACTGGTTCAGTGCCACGAGGCTGACGTGATCGGCCTCCTTCGCTGCAAACTACAAGCCAGTCCATGAATCATGCCCCCTCGTCACCATCTCTTTTGTGAACATCGTCATCGGACACAAGTCAGCGCGGCATTACCTTGATAGATTCTCGCACGATCGAGTGGGCTACCGGCACATGCTTCTTCTTGTGCAAGACCGAGTATTCAGCGAGCGGGAGTAGCACCGCTGCCAACATCTCGAGCTTAGCTCGGTTAGCGCGACCTTCCGTGGCTACTTCGATCCCATCTGCTGTCGTTGAGCTAGTCTCCACGCTGGGCGTGTCGTCAGACACTTTGTCTTTTCGATAGAGCTGAAGGCTACATCGACAGTAATTTGAACATGAGCATATCCGTTGGATCGCTCGTTGCTGGACGACGTACGAGTGGAGAGCTTGAACAGAAGCAAATGCCTTGTCCGTCCAGTTGGACGGAATCGATACCTTTGTAGGCGACGCCGCGGTATGCGCCGGCTGGAAAGAGTAGAACGGGCCCTCGGGGATTTGAAACACCACGTCCAAAAGGTGGAACTGGTGTAAACACTGGATGGCAACCACTGGGTTCGCATGTGACCCCGTCAACATACCAGCCAGCTCCTTGCCCACTCGCTCCCGCGACACCTTTTTCACCAGTGCTTCCTGCAGCGTCCGCATGAGAGAGCCGCCGGAACAACGGCCATGGTGGCGTGCGTACCCGGATATTGGGCTGTTCCAGAGCTTCGACGAGGTCAGGGGCCAATGGGAACTGAAACCGCGATGCAAAACGAATCGCCCGCAACACACGCAGAGGATCATCAAGGAACGTAATGCGAGGGTCGAGCGGCGTGCGGATGACGCCGTGGCGAAGGTCCGATAAGCCCTGCAACAGGCAAGTGATGACCGCGAGAAAAGCAATGCCTTTCTTGTACGTGGCCAGTAAAGTCCTCGACTTCCTTGGTGGCGAGGTTGTAGAACAAACTATTGATCGTAAAGTCCCGGCGCTGTGCATCTTCGAGCGGCGTCCCAAATTCCTGCAGAGGACGACGATGAGCGACACGACGAGAGTCAGCTCGCCATGGGACGGACCATGCTCGGAATGCGATGGGCTTCGTCGTCCGCGTACGTTTCCGCGCGGAGGTTGACAAAGTCGACCCACCCACTGCCCAGCTGCATCGTGGCAGTCTCCAAATGCTTGGACTGGTCTGGGTTTGCCTGATCGAGTGGTTGGAGCAAGTGAGTGTGGCGTGAGATCGACAGTACCTTGATGATCCCGACAGCGTGGGTCTTGTGTCCGTGGTCTGTCTCGTACGCATTCACAAGCGCTGCAAACGCTGCTCCCGTCATTTTGTCCAGCACGATGTCAATGTCGTCGCTGGCGCGACCGAGGAGCTACGCGAGTGGCACCATTGCACGTCCACCTGTTTGTGAACAAGGAAGGACGTACCTTGTCGCGAACCCAGCCACCGGCGACTCGCAACTTGAGGCCACAATTGTTTTGTTTCTCCACATCCAGAAGGAAGTCGAAGAGCTTCTCTTCTTCGTCTGTCAGCACAATCGCTGCCGTCGGGAAGTTGGTTGCCATGACCGCGTCGAATTTCCGCTTCATACAATCCAATTGTGATGAGGGAATTAAAATGCGCTGAGCTAATACAAATATGTAGATATTTAATTGACAATGGAGGGGTGGGCCAGGCGGAATGCAAGTCTCAAGAGTGATGGTTCTCACGAGCGAAACGCCAAAAAATGTCGCCTGGGGAGGTGTCCGATCGAGCATCGACGACTTGATGTACAGTGGCTACCAAAAGTCATCATACATTACGCAACATCTGTACATTGAAGGCCACAACTCCAAAATTTCATGGTGTTTGAAGTCGCTTGAGTGTGCAATCAGTAGATGTGTGAAAGGACATCAAAGCTACAAGATAGCTCAGTATGAAATGCGTAACTGCCTCTGACATCATCGAACGACATGGATAATTCAGGCTCCAAAGTCATCATGCAACATCCTTCAAAACCCCATATATCTCACATAAAAGAGTCCAATCAAACAATCTAACCTTTAATGCACTTCTAAACTTTCCTGCTATCGAATCAAGCCGTCCAATACTTCGTTTAAGCCATGGTGGCCACCAAAACCACGCGAAAGGAGCATCCACCTGAAATTCGCGCTCTCGTCAACATGAAGTTCGCCGAGGGCCTCTCCATGGGCAAAATTGCGGGGGACTTAAACTCTCCCGAGCAATTGTGCAGTCTATGATCGAAGCGCACAAAAAGACTGGTCTTCTCGTGACTACGCCTCGTTCTGGACGACCAAGAGTGACGACACCCCAAAAGGACCGCATCATTGTCCGTGCTGTGAAGCAAGACCGACGAGTTAGTACCGAAGCAATTCGAGAGTCCTTCGAAGTGTTCCATGACAATAACATTTCTTCCCAAACCATCCGACGTCGTATCCATGAATCCGGGTTGCATGGACGTGCCGCTCGGAAGAAGCCCTTCATATCGAAGAAGAACAAAGCCAAGCGGCTCGTCCATGCAAAACGGATTCAAGGAAGATCGATGGAGGCCTGGAAGAAAGTTCTTTGGACGGATGAGAACCCTTTCAATCTGGCGGGATCAAACCGTCGCATTTTTGTGTGGAGACGTCCCGGGGAAGAGTTCGACGAATAGTGCCTCTAGCCAACATTCAAGAGTGGGCGCCACACCGTTATGGTCTGGAGGGCCATTGGGTACAATGGCGTTGGTACTCTGGTGTTTTGCGAAGGCAAGATGAAGTCGAAAGACTACCTTGACATCGTCGAGGCCAATTTGGCCGAGAATTTTGTTAAACTTGGGTTCCCGATCGACTTTGAGTTCATGCAGGAAAACGCGCCAATTCATACTACGAAGAGTGTGAAGGCGTTTTTTGACTTGAACGCTTTCAACTTGCTTCCTCACCCCCCCAAAGCCCGACCTCAATCCCATTGAACATGTGTGGGAGTACATCAAACGTCGAGTGCGCAAGAACCCACCGTCATCGATTGAAGGCTTGAAGGAGCAAATCGTCAAGATTTGGGACAATATTCCTACTTCTTACATCCGGGGTCTCATTGATTCGATGCCTAAACGTCTTGGTATGGTCATTGAAAAATCTGGAGGACCAACGAAGTACTAAGAGCCTAGATAAACTCAAAATACCTCAAGTGTATGGTGACTTTTGGTTTATAGGTTTTTCGTATATACGGATTTATATTTTGGCCAATACACAAACGAGGACAATCATTAGCATTACATTATTGGCTCGAACAGTGCGAATTTGAGGATCAAACAACCATAACAGAGGGTATTGTACTTCGGACACCATTGTGGAAAAAATGCGTTTTATCTTGACCGTATGATGACTTTTGGTAGCCACTGTACAGTGGCTAACGAAAATAATCATGCAGTCGGCGGCACATTGTCGACAAGCCTCGTCATTATTTCGACGATTTTGAGGGCTGCAAATAGTGGTTGTACTTCATCGATGAGCTGGTTTCGCCAAGTATGATTCAACGAAACACATACGACGAAATTGACGAATGGATAATGAAAGGCCAAAAATCGTCACACAAACACACACAAATCACAATAACTCGTCCAATTCTAATCCAATTTGGACGAACTTGCGATCATTTCTCTTTTCATCTTAACTGCTACGACTACAGTCGCAGCAACTACCAAATCTCGACCATGCCGAGCCGAGTGAACAGCCGCACCGCGAAGGGCCCCCACGGAAAATCCGTGACTTAGTCGTGTCCAAGCGCGAAGACGGCATGTCCTGGGGCAAAATTGCCACGGAACTAATGCTCCAGCGTGCCACAGCCCAATCCATTGTTAAGCGTATGAGGATGACGTAAGGCATCCTTGAGACGTAATAGCCTATAGGAAGAGTGGTCAAGTCACTCAAAAATCTCGACTAGGGCGCCCACGTGTCCCTACTGTCCACGAGAACCGCATCCATGCCCATGAAGTACAGGCTAATTGTCTCAGCATTGAGATCCCACGAGAAACCATTCAAATTGCCCATGAAAAGGACATCTCAGTTCAAACAACCCAACGATGCATCCACGAAACGATCTCCATGATCGTGCTCCCCGGAAGAAGCCCTGCATATCGAAGAGTAGCAAAGCGATTGGCTTTCTTACTCCTCAAGCAAGAATGTACAGTAACGGAAAACGCCCCATTGCTGACTGGGGAAAGGTCCTCTGGACAGACGAGAGCCCTTCAACCTCTCTGGGTTGAACGGACGCATTTTGTGTGACGACGATCAGGCGAAGTGTTTAGTGAAGCTTGACTGACACCAGCGTTCAAGAGTAGAAGACATAACTGTGATGATCTGGAAAGCTTTTGGTTACAATGGTGTGGGTACCTTGGTGTGCTTCGTTCAACGCGGCTTCCGAACGCGAACCCTTTCGAGGCAACAGGCAAATTCAACACTGGTATTCAAGAGGGGGCTGCCCTAATTACTACCATTCAGTAGCGTAACCACTTCACAGGCTAAGTACTCCTTGAGCGTCAACTTGGTAATTTTATGCAGACGAGCAACCAATCCGACTGCTCGGTGCACAAATCCACACAAGTCGATTTTCCAACACAGCGGGGCAAACACACGGGCGACCCAGGCTGCTCTGCCACGCAGAACACTTCCCTCTCTACGCAAGGCCCACGCTCTTCATCATAGCACCCACAGTACGATCTTGCTTCTTGGACTCGCACCACTTGCGAAACACTACCGGGATGTCTTCCAGTAGGTTTTTAGCCGGCTCCCACGACGATTCGTCTTCCTCAAGGCCCAACCACTTGACCAAGACTTGGAAGCTGCCGTCTGCGACCTTTCGCACCTTTTCGAGCCGTTCAACATGGAAACCACCATCGCCAAACGAAATTTGGTCGACCAGATCTTCGGTGACTTCCCTTCCTCCTTCGTGATACATCTTGAGGCGACAGGCATGGTGCGTAGATACAGCAAAGGGAGGAATTAGCTCTTGAACTTCCATAACAAAATCCGTAACAACCCGAAGGACTTGAAATGGACCGCGCCACTTGATGGCTAACTTTGGGGGATTCTGGACAATAGAACCAACCAACACAAAATCGCCGATGGTAAAGTTGGCAAGCTTGACCTGCGCTTTCTTGTTTCGTCTTTGGCGTGCTTGTAGACGGAGTTTCTCGGCACGTTCAGCCACATCACGATGCAAATCTTCCAACGCCGTCTTCAACTCAGCCATATGCTGACGCCGGTCTTCGTCAAGCCAGTCGACAACAAAGACTCCCTTGGTCTTCGGATGTACGAATCCAGACATCGGCGTCTTCGCAGGGAGTCCCGTGAACGCCGTAACTGGAGCAACTCCACCGAGTCGATCAGCTGGTTGGTGGTTTAGCGCCCCTTGCACCAGAGGAAGTACCAGCGGCCAATCGTCGACACGCAGTTTCATTTCGTTCAACAACGCCTTGACCGCACGTAACACGAGGTGGTTGACGACTTCAATTGTGCCATTAGTCCAGGGGCTGTAAGCCGTCGTAATGTGGTGGTGCGCACCGACCATTTTTCGAATCTTTTCGATGACTTCGTTTTTGAAATGTGAACCGCCGTCGGTGACCCACGTGTCGACGCATCCATACAACGTGAACCAGGACATTAACGCTGTTGCCGTCGCACTCGCGTCGGCAGTTTCGGAAGCATGCAGGTGGACAAATACTTT